TCCGGCCTTGCGCCCCGCCCCCCCCCCCCCCCCCCGCCGTCCCCAAGCAGGGGGAACAGGGGCACTGGGCAGCCCATTCCTCCGGCAGCCCCTCCGCCCCCCGGCCTCCGGCACGCACAGGCACGGGTCGCGGCGCCTTGGGAGCTGTTCGCGAGGCACTCCGAAGCACAGCCCCGGGGGAGCTCAAGGGCGGGCAGAAACGGTGGGCACAACCGCCGCGGCGCCAGTCGCCGGACGGCGGGGCCGCGGGCTAGCATGCAGGGACCAGGAGCGGGGCAGCAAGGGTCCTCCTGGCGGACGAGCTGCCGTTCCCCTGTGTGCGCGCGGCCCCGGGGGGGGGGGGGCGGGGGCGGGGCCACCAGGGGGACCGCCCAACAAAGACCCCTTGCCGCCCGCGCAGAAGAGGGCGCCCGGCATCCGGCCGGGCCGCGACACAGGACACAGAGGCGCCTCACATGGAGACCTGTGTCGGTGCGCCGTCCCCGGCCATCGCTAATGTGGTCTCATTGGCCGGTGGGCCGCCTCTTCCAGGGAGAGGCCCCCCCCCCCGCGGGCAGACAGACGCGCACGGGCAATCCCTGAGGGCGCGGCCCGACGCACCGCGGCCCAGACACGGTCGGGAGAGCCCGGGCATCAGGACAAGGCCGCAGTCTCTTAATCTACGCCCGAGGGAGGGGGGCGGGAAAGAGGCCCCCGAGGCATGTTTCCTCCGACCGCGGCGAGAGCGAGCCGGGGGGGGGGGGGGGGGGCTCCCGCGGGAAGTTGGGCGCTGGGATGGCCCCCGCGTAGGGGCTCCCGCGCCTGCGGCAGGCTCCGCCGCCGGCCGGGGAGCGTCGGCGCCCGAAGCACCAAAGGTTAAGAGAAGGGGACCCGGCAAATTGCCGGAACGCCAGAAGGGCCCTGGCCTGCCGGGGGGGGAACCACGCCGCCACCGGCCGCCACCGGAGTCGGGCTCGGGCCCGGAAGGAGGAGCAAGGGCGGGCCCCAGACGCCCTGGCCCGCGCTGTCAGGCTGTCGCGCCCCCCCCCCCCCAGCCCCGCCCGGCCGCCCCCTGTTGCAGGCGCAAGCGGTCTCCAGGCGCCCCCCCGGGCTGCCTGCACGCCTGACAAGGCAGCGACAACAGAGAGAGTTGACCCTTGTCCGAGGGATCATGTCCAGGGTCGGGGGGCGGGCGGGGCGGAGGGAGGGGGGGGGGCCGACTTTCGCGGAAGGGCCCGGCCGTGCGCTACACGCACGCGCATGGCGCACGATGCGGCGCACGCCCGGGCCGGGCCGGGCCGGGAAAGCACATGGAGACGGGCCAAAAACCGCCCTCCCCCGGGCCCACTCGGCGATTCGGCTGAAAACACCCACACCCATCCTGGTAGTACGCGGGCGCAACAGTACACCCATGTCTCCGTGCCATGCGCCGGGTGCACCAAGGGGTGGAGGGGGGCGCGCGCGCACAAACAAGCGCCCCCGGCCCGGCCTGCGGCCCGAGAAAGCGACCAGGGCGTTGCCACAGCCCAATATTTATTAATGCAAATATACTGAGGATGCATGTTTCCGTGTTTTATCCGTGAGCGCACACACACACACCTACATATGTGTGTATGGATGTTTGCATCTGTGTGTACACACACACACACACACACACACGCACATGCACACGCATGCGGGCGGATCAGCAGCTGGGTTCCCTCCCCCCGCGCGCGCGCTCCCCGGGGGCGCGGCAATATTGACTTTCGGTGCGCCTGCGCGTCGTGCACGCCGACCCTTATTTGTCTTATTTCCCTGTGCACCGCGCGGCCGGACTTTCCCCCTGCTCTGTGGCACACCATTCCCCCCCCCGCCCCCCCGCCCCCCCGCCCCCCCCGGGTAGGACCCTCCCCCCTCGGCCATTGTCTCTTCGGGAAGGAGGGAGCCCTCCAAGGCGCCGTGTGTTTCCTCGCCAGGGAGATGATACGCTCGGGCGGCCCCGTCGGCCGCCCCGCCGCCGCCCTCCTGCGCGCTCCTGCGCCCGAGCCGCGCATCCGCGCCGCAAGGCGGACCGAGCACAATGCCCTTCATTGCCCTCCATGGCGCGGGAAATTGCCTGCGTCATGGCAACCTCCTGGCCGCACCCCGCGCGGGCTGCCCCCTCCGCGGGCGCCGCACGCCACACGTACGGCGCCCCCCCCCCTCCCCCCGTGGGCCAGCCGCCCGCAAGGTCCCTGCCGCGAGGGCCAGTGCCGCCCCCCCTCACGGCAAGGGGCGCAGCCGGCTCCCGGCACCAGGATGCTCTCGCCCGAGCCAGCTGCCCCAGGCCGGCGACCCTCGTTCTCAGCCCCCCCCCCCCCCCGGCGCAAGGACTCCCTTCGCCAGGCGCTTGCCACATCCGTCCGCTGGAATGTGCCGTGCCCGCTCCGGTCGGCACCCCCTCCCCCATCCCCCAGGGCGCGTGACGCGCATGTCCGGGGCCGGGGGGGGGGGGGGCCGGCCGAGCCCGTCCGCTTCACCCTTCGCCGGCTGCGACACGTCCCATCCCCGGGGAGAGGGCTCGCCATGGGCCGACTGGTGCCCCCCCCCCCCCTCCCGCCTGCCGCCCGCTCCGAGGCCCCGCCCTTTTCGGCCGCCAGCCCCCTCCTCTGAGGGGCGCATATTTTGGCCTCTGCGCCAATGGCCTGCTCCCGGCGCGCGTGCCTCCCTATGGGCCAGCTCGTTTACCCCCAGAGCGGTGCGCGGCCCGCGACCCATTCGGTGGCCCGGTGGTTGCACCCCAAATGTCCCCCTCCCTCTGCCGGCGCTATTCGACCGGGGAGGCCCTTGCCAGGAGCACCACCCCGTTCCGCTAGCCCGACAGGGGCCAAAGCGCTGCCGGGGGGGGGGGGGAGTTCGTTCCAAGCCCCGGCGGTGATTGGTCCGCAGCCGGGCGAACGCCCGGCGCCCCGGTGGGGATGCCCGACGCGTCCTGGTGGGGGGGGGGGGGATGCCTGCGCCTACGTGATGTCCTGACAAGGGCTCCCTCGCCCCCCGCGGCCGTCCATAGCTCGAGACCCCGCTGCTCTCAGGCCACCCCGGCACGGGTCAGCGTGCCGGCGCTCCCGGCTGTGCCTCGGTCCGGCGGCTTTGTGGCGTGCGCCGCCCTGCCCCGGACTTTCCGATGTTAGGATCACCCCCCCACCCGCGCCTGTCTCCCTCTGCCCTCCCCATGGAAGCGGCAAGATGGTCGGGGCCGGCACTCGTCAAACTGAATACCCAGAACAGCGTTCCGTTATATCACGGGCACCCGTGCTTAACTATTCCCCTGGGCCTTGGATTGGGGTGCCCGGCCCCGAGACCGATCATCCCCCGGGAATGGAGCTGAAAATACTACCAGCCCCCGCGCGTATGGCGAGGCGCATGCTCAGGCACACCGATCTACACGCCACGAGTTCGCATGTCAAGAAAACCTTGGCTCGAGGTTGGTCTTCTCCGCCGGTTGCTGTGCTCGCCCCCCCTCCCCCGCGTCCACGGCAAGGGGGGCGGCGCAGGACGCGCGCACAGCTGCCAACAGAGGCCCTGAAACTACCGATGGACAAGAATTGGGACGCCCGTCCCCCGGTGTCGCAGCCGACTCATGCGCACGTGTAAACACCGCCCCCCCCC